ACTGCAAAAGCCCCTGATGGAAATGAAAATGACCTACTATCGTGGTCCTCTTGATAACCCCTCTGGTGGTCAGCCCTGACACTGTGGGTCCCTTTGTCACCCCCTTTCAACAGGAATCAGTCACTGAATACACTTCTTTGTCTCTGTTCCTAACAGCAGTTAGGACAATCACTAAGGTGGGGGACTTGAAGAGTAGACTGCGGGAGGTCCATCGATTCCCAAAAGATGACAATTAGCCAGGGGGAAAATGCCCTTTCTCCTTCCAAGAAACATCTGTTTGCACTAGGGAGACACTTCTGCTTCAAAATCCATCCATGCCAAAGTCTCCACCCTTGGGCAATAAAAAAAGCTATAAAACCCAATTTCCAACCTGACCCAGGGCACCACCAGTTTCCAGGTCCCACTGCATAACCCCATGTAGACTTTCCTTTCTCTTCTCTGCAAATAAAACTTTTCTGACCTTTGCTGCTGAGTCTGCCTTTGATTTCCATCTAAGTGCCAACCAAGGACCCTCACCACCCAAGCTTCCCAGTGTATCACAGGCACCCTCATGGGAGTGAAGTGGTTTCTCATTGTAGTTTCGATTGCATTTCACTGATGACTAATAAACACCTTTTCATGTATTTATTAGCTGGCCATCTTTGGAGAATTATCCATTCAAGTCCTTGCCCATTTTAAGTTGAGTTGTTGCAGTATAGTGTTTTATATGTTGTAGATACAAGTACTTTATCAGATAGATAATTTGCAAATTTTTTCTTTGATTCTGTAGGTTGTTTTTTTCCTTTCTCTCCCTTCTTCCCTCCCTCCCTCCCTTCTTTCCTTCCTGTTATGAGACAGGGTCTCACTATGTAGCTCAGGCTAGACTAGAATTCACTATGTAACCCAAAGTGGCTGAGAACTCTTAATCCTCCTGCCTCAGCCTCCTGAATATTGGGATTACAGCTGTGCACCACCATGCCCAGCTAATACTTTCTTGATAGTATCATCTATGGCACAAAAGTTTTCAATTCTGAAGTCCACTTTTATCTGTTTTTCTTTTGTTACTTGTGCTTTGGTGTCATATTTGAAAAACTATTGCCTAACCCAAGACCATAGTATTTCTATATATGCCTTTTCTAAGAGTTTAATAGTTTTAGATCTTACATTTATGTCTATGATCCATTTTTAGTTAATTTTTACATTAGATAGGGGTCCAGTTTTATTCTTTTGCATATGGATATACAGTTTTCCTAGTACTAATTGTTTAAAAAACAATTCTTTCTTTAATGAATTGTCTTAGCACCTTGTTGATAATCAATTGACCATAAATGTAGGGAGGGAGCAATTTATATTGATAAGACACAAATTAAAAGTGATTTTTACAATCTTCCCTTGTGGGTAGCAAGAAGAGTACTGGGATAAGCACAAGCAAAACATTATTTCACTTGATCATTCTTAAAAACAAAAATAAAAACAAAAACAAAACCCAATAAGGTACATGCCACCATCAGCTCTGAAGAAACTAAGGCACAGAGAAAATGAGTAGCCTGCTCGAGGTCTCACAGTTAAAAATGTGGTAGATCCAAGATTTGAACACAGACAGTTTAAAAACTCAGGACCCATCCTCTTCTCCACGATATTCCAAGCCCTTGCAAACTTCCCCTCCTCTTTTTATGTTATTTAAACCCTCTTTTCACTTAATTGCTATTTCTCTCTTCTTTCTTCACCTTCAACATGCGCTATTTTACCTGCAATGAAATGACTAGAATCTGATCTATTTGGAGTAATGATATTTCTGGATTTGAGACATTTTTATTCCAATAAGACCATGTTGGCATTGCTGCGATGTTTAATATAAACACCATTATACCATAAACAAATCAAAAAGCTTGGCTGTAGTAACAACAATGTTTGGTCTTTTGAAGCCAGATAGATTATCCCACCACCACCACTGACATGTATTAGAAATCCTCAAATTGTCACAATAGCATAATTTTAAAATGTAAGTAAATGATTACTTTTAAAATCATCTCTAACACTTAGATGTTTCAACATTAATACACCAGTTAACATGTTCGTCTCCTCCAATACTATGGATTTGAAAAACAGAGTGTACAAATTCACCTTATTTTCACTTTCCCATTGTCCCATGCCTTATTTATTTATCCAGAGTCATTTTGATTTGTTATTCCCACAAGTTTCTTCTACATTACAACTCATGTGAGCATTTAATAACTCTACACACATTCTTTTATTGAATTCTTACAGTAATACCTACCCTGCAACTTAAGATATATTTATCCTGATTTTACAGATGAGGGACTTGAGAGAAGTTGGGTAATCGGTCCAAGGGTCACACAAAGACCGTAAGTCTAAAGCCCTGTAAGGACAGGGAGCAGGTCTGGTTGGGCACCACTGGAGTCTTCTGCTTGGCACATTAGTGTTGAATAAAACGTTGGTCCCTCCTCACTGGATGCTGCAGATGTGGTGCAAACTAAGCACCAGGGCTCCAACATCTCATTACTGGAGTTTATATGTCAGCTCTACCATTTATCTCTGTGACCTTGGACAAGTTTTTCAACCCCTTTGCACCATGGCATCCTCATCTATAAAGTGGAGATGATAATATGAACTTCACAGTGTTGTGAGGACTTAATGAGAGCATACATACAAAGTGCTCAGTATGCCAGCTGAGACACAGCACTCATTGTGTCAACATTACAGCAGAGATACCCTTTCTCTGACATGTTTACCCCATCTCTGACTCCCTACTTAGCCAGAACCCCCATCTTCTGCCTGTAACCTGTCCAGCAGAGCTAAACTTTTTCATTTGTTTGTACTTGATTTCTTCTTTCCCACCTAATGGTTCAGCTACATCTTAATATTGGCTTCTGTTGGGTTGTTTTCTTTTTAAGTCCTTTCTTACCTTGACTCTTCACCTGCCCATTCCAGGACGCAGCCTCCTCCATACTTGTCCTTCCCTACTGGTGCGGACATGTCTGGGCCACCTCCACAGGGCTGCTGTAAGCAGAACTCTGCCTTGCCTCATGGGCTCCACTATCAGTTACTCAGAAAAGTGGAGAGCATTGCACAATCCCCAGCGTCCATTTGCATTCAGTGTATGAATTCATCTCCATGTGGATTTGTCAAATACGGACAGAATTTACCATGAGACCCTAACAGCTGGTCTCCCCTTCTGCTCCCTGCTCAGCTCCTCCCTGCTTCCCCATTCCCACTCTACAGGGACTATATCACCGCTCAGACCGACAGACTGAGGACTGACAAACTGTACTTTCTCCCCTCAAGTCTGCTGATTTTCTTCCTTACACTGTCCCTAAAGCAGAGGTCATAAAATGAAGTGTATTCAGGGGCAGGCGGGTGACAGGAATGGGGAGCCCATGGAGGGTGACGGTGTGCACATGCTCTGTAGAAGTGAAGGTCTGTGACAAATGGAAAAGGGGCCAGGGATTCATAGCCACACCAAAGGCTACCATGAGACTCTAGCTCTAAGTCCATGGCAGCCAGGTTTTCAGGAGAACCTGGAAAACTGGATTTTGTGAAGAATCTAGAATATGGTAGAAAGGAATTCGGCTTATACTAATCCCCTGTGTGTGCCAGGCTCTATATTTAGTGCTGTATATATGTCTTTTTTTTTTTTTTAGTTATTAAATCCTCAAAATAACCAGGAAGAGTAAAAAACAGACTCAGAGCAGTTATCTAGCTTGCTCAAAGTCACACAACTGGAAAGAAATTTGGGCCTAGATGCTGCCCATATTTTGATTTAAAAGCTCTTTTCTGTCTCCTGCTGGAAGGCAACTTACATCAAGGCAGAAATGCATATATATAAACCATAGTGGTATATTTGACAGGCATTTAAAAGTAAGTTATTTCTTGGAGAAGCTGCAATAATATGTCTAGCGAAGGTTAAGAGATGCCTTTAGTGTTACTGTTTCTCAGACTGTTAACACTTATAGGATTGTCCTAAAGATTATGCTTGAGGGCTTGGCTTTGACCTTATTTAAAAATGCAAGTGCAATGAGGCGCCATAACACACTAGGCTTTAGCAGCTATTACTATGTCAGTGGGAATGAGATTCCTGCTCATTTTCAACTGGCAGTAATCCCATAGAGAATAAGACTCCCAAAAGGTAGGAACTGACAGAGGGGAGACTGATGAGATAAACCTCAAGCAGCTATCTGGCTAGCCTGGGAGGTGGAAAGGAAGTGAAAAGTAAAAGCTGTCAAAGGGAAGTGAGAGGTCAGCTCTTTACAAGTTGTACAGGGTCTCCCTACATTCTGAGGGTCTCCATCACATGTCCCAAGTTGCCCCTCAGTATCTGGGAAGAGGAAAGTGGAAGGGCAGAGAAAAAGAAGGTGGAAGAAAGAAAGAAAAGCAGGGACAGGGCAGAGAAGCAAAGAAGAGTAAAGATAGGGGAACAACACCATAGGGAGGAAAGAACCCAAGGGAGGAGGAAGAGGGGACAAGAGGTGGGGTACAGATTCAGTGCTGACATTACGCCATACACCTGTGGAAGATTAAGACACTAGGGCTAGGGATGTAGCTCAGGGTAGAGTGCTTCCTTAACATACATGGGGTTCTAGGGCCTATGCCCAGCATGAAGAAGAAGGAGGAGGAGGAGGAGAAGGAGGAGGAGAAAAGGAAAAAGATGATGAAGGAAAGAAAAAATTACGATGTTTAAAATGAAATCATATGTACTATTTTTAGAGACAACAAAAACCTTTCAGTATAATATTGGAGGGGCTGGAGAGGGGCAGTCCAGAAGCAGCACCTGGAAGAAGGGAATCTCTCCACAGGCTGGCTTTCCTGACCACCTCCCTCCTTCCCCTCTGTATGCTGGGAAGCCTCTAGGCCAAGTAACACTTAGACAAACTTTGCGGAGTTTTTTGCTTTTGGATTTTTTTGGCAGTGCTGGGGTTTGAACTCAGGGCCTTGTACTTGCTAGGTAGGTGCTTTACTACTTGAGCCACGCCTCCAGCCCTATCAGGCCAGGTGCACCTTACCTCATCCTCAAGGAGGTCTCTGGGTTTGGGTGGGACTTGAGGCTTCTGCAGAGAGGTGGGGGCCGGCAGTGTGGAGGCAAGCCTGGCTTTGCCTGAAGGCCAGCTGGGCTTGCTGGGAAGTGTCTTGCTGAAGGGTGGACAGTGCCTCTGGCTTGATCGATTGTCTTGAACAAACAAAAAACATAACACTGAAGAGGATCTGGATCATTCCTTGGGTGGAAACCATGGAGATTTAAAAATTATAAAGCCCCTTGCATCTATGTAGCTACAAATAATCAGTAGTGCATTCCTTAAAGGAGCAAAGGGAAATGTTAAGCAAAAAACTTCAACTGTCCATTGACTTACAGAAGGATATCACCAGAAGCTTCCTTCTAGGGGATGGAAGCCCAGTTTGGGACAGCCCAACACAGCTGAAACACAGTGGATAGAAGAAGTATGAGGCATCTAAGGGTGTGTGATTCTCAATCCTCTTTACACATTAGAACCCTCCGTTGAATTTTTTAAATACCCAGGTCTGGGCCCCAGCCCAACCTTACTATGTTTGAACTTCTGGGGTGGGGTCTAGTGTTGTGGGTTTATAAAGTTGCCCAGGTTATTCCAAGGTGTATGAGGGTGGTCAAGCTACAAATTCCTTCTCTCAAAGGCTTCCCTCCATCCAAGGAGAAGCTGTGAGAAGCTTGGTCCAGAACCACCCTTCCCAGCAGGTGTTAGGGAAGGAGTTCAAGGTTTGAACCCATGTGCATTTGGGTTCTGTCCCCTGCTGTCATTCACTAACTGTTTCTGATTGGGATAGTTATGCAACATCTCTAGGACTCATTTCCTCATTTTAAAACTGAGGATCATGATATCCACCTTAGAGAGCTCTAGTTATAGAAAGAAGTAGGGGTGGTACAACTGCCTTAGAGGTGGAGCTAATGTTACTGTGCCGTGTGATGGGGGCTTCACACCTCCAGTCTGCCCAGCTGATGTTGATACTTTGATTTACATTTTAGGAAATGCTTGACATAGGACATGCATCTTGGGGACAGGATAGTTCCTTACAGTGGCCTGTACTGCATCATGGGCTTCCTGCTGCTTCCTTCTGTGATAGTCCCGCAAACCACCCTTGGCTGTCGCTCCCCTGATACTAGGTTCTCCTTCTGGTGCCTGCTCCTGCCCTCAGCCCTTACTTCTTCCTTGGCCAAGAAGTGTGGTTAACTTTACATTTTCTGTGTTCACTAAATCATCTGCTTTGCTTTTCCCATAACTGTCATTTTTTTTTCCAGTACTGGGGCTTGAACTCAGGGCCTTCACCTTGAGCCACTCCACCACTCCTATTTTTGTGAAAGGTTTTTTGAGATAGGGTCTCACGGAACTATATGCCCCAGGTGGCTTCGAACTATGATCCTCCTGATCTCTGCCTCCTCAGTAGCTAGGAGTACAGGCATGAGCCACTAGCACCTGGCTTATTTGCAGTTCTTAAAGTTTGCTTTTATTTATTTTATTTTATTTTACTTTACTTTATTTGTGGTATTGGGATTTAACCCAGGGCCTCACACTACCACTTGAGCTATACCCTCAGTCCTTTTGTATTTATTTTGTTTTGAGATAGAATCTTGCTATATTTGCCCAGGCTGGTCTTGAACTGCTGATCCTCCTGCCTCTACCTCCTGAGTAACTGGAATTATGGGCATGCACCAGCATGGCCAGCTTAGATTTCTTTCTTTCTCTCTTTCTTTTTCCCTCCCTCTCTCTCCCTCCCTCCCTTTCTTCCTTCCTTCTGTCTTTCTATCTTCTTTTTTTTGGTAGTAACTGGGGTTAACTCAGGGCTTCATGCTCTACCACTTGAGCGACTATGCCAGCTCTTTCTATGCTGCTTATTTTTGAGACAGCATTTCGCTTTATGCCTGGGTAGATATGGACTACGACCCTCCTATTTGTGCTTCTCTGAAAGCTGGGATGACATCACCATGCCCAGCTATTGGTTGAGATTAAGTCTTGCCAAAAACAGAATAACTAGGATTATAGACATGAGCTACTGTGCCCAACACTAGCTTAGATTTCTCAATGCAATATTTAAGCCCATAAGAAGTAGCAAAACATGGAGATCATGCTTTGAAGAGTATGCCCTGGAATGAGCCACTTTAACCCTGAATTGTGGTTTTCTGGTTGTCAAAATGGTCCTAACACAGCCCCTTCCCTCCCAGGGCTGTTGCAATGACTGAATAAGGTCATTTACCAAATCCAGTGGGCAGTGCATGGAGCACAGTGGTAGAGTGCAATGACTTTGAAAGCTGAGAGGCCCAGCTCAGATCCCAACTCCACCCTTACAGAACCTTGGCCCAATTTGCTCACTCTGAGTCTCTCCTCTTTCCTCTGTAAAGTGGAGATGAATCCTTTCACAAGATTATCAAGAGGGTTAAGTAGGCCACAGCTGTAAAGCACTAACTGTAAACTCTTAAAGTCTAGGAGTATGTCACTTTGCTTGCTGCTGTGCTTACTATAGATTTGGCACATAGTAGGTATTCAACAGATTAATTGTGGAACAAGGCACCTGGTACCCTAAAAAGGCAGTAGACATCAGTGAGGATGGACAGGTAGGAACACTTTATACGAATGCAAGCATTGCAGTGACCGCCATGTCTATGTTGCTCTCCTCACCCTCGAAGCACCTGGTCACCTGCCAATGCCAGAACATGACTTTCTTCTTGATGGACAATAAAAGGCATAGTCAGCTCTCAAGGTCAGACCTGAGCTGTGTCTGTTTTATCTGTGAGGCTAATTCCAGGCCTAGAGCTTACCATACCCCGCCCCCAGGTAAATATCCATAGTCCAGACTCCATGGCGATGAGGCTGTCTGGCAGCAGAGAAGGGAAGAGGGGCTTAGCAAACATTCAGATCTTTGAAGGGTCACCCTTGTTCTGTGTGGACTTCTAGGAGAAATTCCAGGATCTTATGCATAGAAAGTCCTAACAGAAGTGAGGACTAATCTCAGGATTGGCTTTCCATAGGACTGTAGAGGCAGAGGAGGGGGGAGGGCAGCCACCAGAATAGGCTTTGTTTATTTGGCATTCATTAGTTATTTTTATTAATTTTTAATTATTTATTCCTCCCTGTTTTCAATATCCCGATTTAGGAAAGATGCCTTTCTGCCTGGGATGGGAAAGCCATACCAACCGGGATCCATTATCTGGGAGCACCTGGATAACCTGCTTGGAGGTGAGCCTGAAAGCAGGCAGAGGGCTCTCAGGCAACAGCCATTGTCCCTCCCTGTGTTTTAGAAAGGGGGGGTGACCTCACCTATATACTCGCCCCTGGCGAAGGGCAGGGCTGGGTGGACTGTCCTCATCTCCTGCTCGGCCGGTGGTGGCTCGTAGCTATCGTCACCGTTCTCCTCAGCAGGCATCACATACATCTCTGAGTCTGAGTGCTCATCTGGATTTTCATAGTCACTGTCCTGCAAATGCAGACACCACACTCAGTGTCTCTGTCTGGGCTGCTTAATCTGCAGACAATTCTTTCCTTAGGCGATCGGAGCTATTCACCAGTGTAGTGACAGGGAAGTCACAGCTGAGAAAGGCTGAGCTTGCAAGGTTAGGTACTAGTGACAGCTTGAACCAGAGGTAGAGTCTTACCTCCAAAGTTGATCGTGTTGACAACCACAGTGACCTGTGGAACATGTGAGCTCTTTAACCCTAAGGGTGACTGAAACTGCATGTGAATAAAGCACAGTAGATGACAATACAATGTACTTTTAAAAGTCAGGAAAAGGACCCAATAGATAGAATAAACAGTTGGTTTTATTTCTCACAAACGCTGAAGTCTGAGGAAAAAGTTGGTTTAATGGGAAAAGGGGAGAAGATGCCCAAGGAGAGGATGGTTTTGTTTCTAAGCGCTCTCTCTCTCTCTCTCTCTCTCTCTCTCTCTGGGCGTGTGTGTGTGTAGGGGGATTAGACTTGAAATGTACTTAGAGTCCATTTCTTTTCTTTTCTTTTTGTAAATACAAAACTTTATTTAAGTCCACATTTTATTAAAACATGTTGGCATGGTCTGAAGTTTAAACAGTGAAGTGGTGAAGTCTTCCTGGCCTCTCAACCCCTCCCCAGATAGGTGTTACAACTTCTTGCGTGCACTGTTCAGATAGAGTTTATGTGTATCATTTATGCATACATTAATATGGAGGAAAAATCTGACTCAAGACTTAAGGGATCCTGACTTCTGTATGCACCGTGTCCACACACTACCTCCCACAATACACGACCCACACGTGCTTTTCCAGTGAATTCATGGAACATCTGCTTTTTGGTCTGTCTCCTCTCACTTGCAATTTTATAACAGGAGTTCACTAGGCAGTCCTGGCAGCTTGAGGATCAGGCCAAGATCAGGCCTGCCTTTCATTCTGGAGATCTACTGAAGTAAAAATAATGGAGTGGCTGTTTACTCAATCCTTGTGATTGCCCATATCTTAATTTTGGTTCTCTGACTTTGGGGCAAACTATTCTCTTCTCTTCAGGATGAGTTTATTGTGTGTTTTCTCAGTCCCCACCGTGTGCTTTATTTATCCAGCTAGGTAGCTCCACAGCTCCACTGGTTGTGGACCACCCAGTTTCCTTCCTTTGTGAAAGAGGTAATGCCAAACTGCAGCCAGCAGGGGGCGCAGCTTCAGCGCTTCTGGGAGATCAGCAGCTGCTGGGCTTTGGGAGGAACTCCATGCCCAAGAGACCTGCAAAGAGGTCACCTTTGCCCTCGTTTTTCTTTTCCTACAGTTGAAGGAGTTGCTCAATACTGGAGGTCTGTAGCCTGAGTTCTGACAAAGTCTTATTTTAATTGTCTTGGCTTCATTTTCCTTGTCTCTAAGTGGGTGTGTGGTGGCTTTCTTGGATCCCTTTCTGATTAGACCAAAGATTGGAGCAAGCTAACATCTTGAATGGGCTTGATATAACCGAGGAACAATTACTGGGAAGAAAAATATTTTAGGATGGCTTGTCCTTATAAGAGAAAAGTGGCCACAGGGGTCCTGTGGATTGCAGAACTGTCTTGAGGAGGCTGAGAGCTCATTCTCGTACACCACCTGCGATGTCATCATGGCTGGGTCCCTCTCTCTCTCTCTAAAACCTCCAGAGCTCTGCTAGTGTTCTTCTGGGTTTGGATTTGGAAACTTTCCATGCAATAGATCTAGAGGCACCCTGCTGGGCCTGGCATTAACTCTAAAGCTGGCTGGTCTGAGACTCCAGGGCAGGGGTCAGGAAGTGACGGTGTGCCGGAAGTTTATGGCAGAAACATTTTCCAACTGATATGGACGCATTTTAAAATTTTAGCATCTGTCTTAGCTGTGCTGGTGAGCACAGGTGACTACTAGCACTGAAAATGGGATGTGAGTGGCTACCTCATAGGGCAGTGGTGAGACTCACGTGAGGTAATGTCTGGAATGTTCTTTGCCTTTCATGGAGCCAGTGCCGGCTCAGCTAGCCATTATGGGATTTCTGCTGCCTTATGTGGAGGTGACATTTCCAGCCCTTCCCTTGCCTCTCCCCTTATGATGTACAGCTGACCACCAGCATGTAGTTCAGAAACAGGTGTTTTAAAAGGCCTCCCACTGGGTCCTAGTACCCTCCTGGTCCCAGCAGCAAATACTTACAAAGTCATCGGACCACTGCTCTCCTTCATCAGCAGGGCTGTCTGAAATGGCAAGAGGGACAGAGACGTATGAGCAAGAATCTCAGTTGCCCAGCTCCAACCTGTCCACAAACACCCACACCTGCCTTCCCTTCTTTCGGGCTTGCTAGTGCCACTTCCTTGGCCTTGAACATTTATTACAGAATGACCATATGCTAATTCACCTTTGACTCCTTAAAAACAAAATCAATCCTTAAAGTATTAAGAGAAGAACCACTGGGGTAGAACAATGATGCCTTCTGACCCATTGTCCGCATTTGTCAAGGGATGAAGGCAATCCATACCATGTAGCTTCTACAGCTTTCTTTGAATCAGTGTGTGGATCAGAAGGAAGAGCACTGGACAGAGCTACACAGACCTAAATTCTCATCCCAACTAGTTGGAGATTGTGGTAGAACACCTAGCATCTCAGGGTCTCTTTCCAGATCTGTAAAATGAGGGGATAACATCTGTGATTCTCTCTGGTTCTAAATTTGATCTTTTGCTTGTTTTTGTTCAAAAAAATATGTCCAGTGTTGTACAGTATCCCAGGAATATTATCACAGCCTTATACCCATTTAGTCTTCTCAAAATCCTTGTCAGGAGACTGAGGCCCAGAGCAGGTAAGTGGTGTGCCCAAGAAATCCCAAACAAGGGACTGTGGAAATGAACTGTGACCTCAGCATCAGAGTAGCAACATTTTAAGCAGTGGCAGTAGAATGCTGTCCCTCTCTTGGGAAAACATGGTGACAGTGTAAGAAGGAGCCTCAGTCTACTACCTAAGTCTGAGTCAAATCTTGCCATAAACAGAAAATAATTCTTAACAGATTGCTCTTTGAGTTGACTGATAGTAAATTATAGTGTATTGCGATCATTGGGGTTTTCCATGAAAATCAGAAGAATAAATCCTCTTCCCAACATGGTTGCCTAGTAACGTGGGGAAAGAAGTATCTAGTCCCTTACGTTTGGGGATAATTGAAGATCAGTGCTTCAGATGGGAAGACATTTTGTTTTAGCCATTTCTATAGGATACTTTAGACAATGTCCTTCTGAAATCCACTGCCCTGCCTTGGGAAACTGGACTTGCTCAGCCTTTTCTCAGTGAATCAGGTTGACTCCACAATCAGTCATTTGGAGAAAGTGGTTGTAGTAGCTATCTAACTAGTTTTCTTGTCTTCATTCTCTTTCTCCTCAACTCACCTACAGAGAGGCTGTCTACTGTTTCTAGTTATTTTCTTGAATATTTTTTTTTTAGTGGAACTGGGGTTTGAACTCAGGACTTCACAGCAGGCACTCTGCTACTTGAGCCACACCTCCATTTCATCTAGTTATTTTCTTAAAACAAAGGTTAGATCATGTTCCCCTCCTCAAGAATCATCAGTGACTCCCTATGGAATAAAATTGAGGTTTTATGTCCACATTTTAGAATGCCTCCATTCCCTTCCCCTCATTGACTTCTCTCGCTGTAGCCTTCCCTGCCCCCCGCAACTTTCTGCAACTGTGCACTTCAGGTAGCACTCTGATCTGCCTATGCTGGTCCCCAACCCACTGCCTTCTTCCTTGGAGATCCCTATCCTTTCTCCTCCATAAAGGCATCCCAGAACCTCTTGTCATAATGCTTTACCCTTACCTCTGGACCTCTTATAAGCTGCTGGTGCCTTATTCTGTGCACTTCATTCTGACCTGTGCTATGATTAAGTTGTTTTTGTCTCTCTGGACTGAAAAGGCTTACTCAATTTATCTTTAAGTTTGGGTGGTATTTTGCACTTGCGTTCCATGTACTAACAAATATTGAGGGGGGGGGAGAGGAGGGGGGCGGAGTGGGTGGTAAGGGAGGGGGTGGGGGCAGGGGGGAGAAATGAACCAAGCCTTGTATGCACATATGAATAATAAAAGAAAAATGAAAAACAAAAACAAAAACAAAAAAAAAATAATGAATGAAAATGAGTATATTAGTAATGAATTCCATTCTAGCTGGAAGTTAGACTAAGTGTTATTCTTACAATAGCACTATATATGTGTTATTATTAACTCTGTTTTTATAGTTGAGAAGACTGGGCCTAAAAGAGGTTGGGTTGCAAAACCTACCTGGGGCTACATAGCTAGCAAGTAGGGGACTTGGATTGGAGGCCAAGCTCCCTAAGTTGACTCCTGTAGCTGAAAATGAGAATGATCCAATCCAGACATTGTGGTACATGGGGGCAGGAAAAAGAAAAAAGCGCCATGTGATAGAGGCCATTTGATGGTGCCCCACTCATCCCCAGCTGCACTCATCTCCTGGTCCAAGGGCAATTCACAGCATCGTACTTAGAAGGTTACAACCTTGCAATCACCCAGACTGAAAAGTGTGGCAGTCCACAGTACTAGACCCAAAGTCGTGGCTTTTTCTCAGTATGTCAGGGAACCTCCTGAAATAGTTGGGTGGTGGTTTTAGAACCAGGCTGTCTGGTTCAGATCCTGTCTCTGCTTTGTATGAGCTGTTTGAGCTTGGATCAATGATTTAGTATCACTCAGGGGTCAATTTCCTCACCTGTAAATCAAGGATTAAAAATAGTGACTGCCTCGTATTTTAGTGAGAATCAAGTACTATACATGTGAAGTGCTTAGCAAAACCTGGCAAGCAATAAATACTTTATTAATTTGTTGTTGTCTTGAGCTTTGCAAATGTCGCAGTAAGCCCTCAAAGCACCATTTATATTGATTTATTCCAATGGCAATCGCACAGTATGGATACCATAAACAAATGGGTCTAAAAAAGCCTCTAGTATAATGGGCAAAATTCTAGGGAGGATAATTCAAGTTTACTATGGGCCAGGTGGTTTCATTTTTTTGTGTGTGCAATTGCATAGCCCCTATCAGGAAGCTGAGATACTGGTGAGGCTGCCTGCCAGGTAAAGCCCCTCCTATACGCTACTCTACCTGGTTTGGGTTTATGTCATAGTCCCATGGCACACAACAGAGAGACTCCTCTTCTTGTGAGTCCCGGAATTGAGATCCATGTAGCCCCCTTGGCCTGGGGCACAGCACATGACACACTTGAGAATGACCAAGACTGCTCCAGGCCAAAACATACAGGGGGTCAAGCTTGGGTCCTCAGATCAGAGTGCCTGCCTCAGAACCCTGGTTCCTCCCTTTGCCACCAGCGTGGTCTTGCACATGTTGTTTAACCTCTGGGCCTCAGTTTCCTCATCACCAAAACGGACATTGTTAAGGGTCTTTCCCAGGATGTCGAAAGAATGAAAAGAAAGAATTCCTGTAAAGCATTGTAAGAATATCTGCACAGAGTTGACTCTGCATATGAGTGATTACAGTAATTTGCATTCTCTGCAATCCTCCAAAGGACAACGGGGAGAGGTATTCTTATCTCCAGATCAGGAATCAGAGGCTCAGGGAAGCTGTAAAACTGTTCCAAGTTCCCACAGTGCTTAGAGGGCAAAGCCAGGATTCCAATTTAGGCCAACGTCCAAAGTCTTCACACCAAACCATACTGCACAATGGGAATCAAAGACTTAGAGACCAGAAGCATGTCTGGGCATTTCAGAAGTAGATAAAATTCCCCAATATGGCCCATTACTTGGGGTCATTACCAGTGCTGGGAAAGTTCAGGGAAGGCTGTGCTCCCTGTGAGCTGAGAGACTGCACCAGTCTGTGTGCCAGGGGCAGGACTGCGGAGGGACTTTAGTGGACAGGCAGGATTTGAAGGAAGATGTCTCTCTCCATCAACTAGGACAGGGGCTTGTGTGTCAGTCCTAGAAGGAGGGCTTGACTGGTAGTCAGGCAGGCATCTCCCTAAGGAGGGACTTGTGCCCAGAACTAAGGAGCTCTGCTGGAGGGGACAGGAAGGAATGCCAGGAGATAAAGCAGCTAGATGTGTGCGCTGTAAACCAAGGGGGTTTCAGCCACAGCAAACGCCACAGGTTCTGGTGACAAGCTAGAAATGAGCCTGGCATTTGAAGAGCTGGAGGCTGACCATACTGAGGGCTCTGGGAATGGGATGGCTAGAAGGACAGTAAAGGGATCTGTGGTGACGGCTGGAGCACATGGTGAAGGCCCGGGTGTGAGTCCACCTCTTGGTTCCTGGTGATCAGGAGTGCCAGAGACCTGGGATTGATGCTGATGGTGTCTCAGCCTCAGTGTGGTCCTCAGCTGGATCCTACTCTAGGCCACCAGGCCCTGAACATTTTATCCCCCTCACAGAGCTGGTGGTGGGTGTCAGGGAGCTAGTGGGAATTGCGCAGCATGACCATAAGGAAGGAAAGAAGGTGGGCCAGGGATAGGTGCAGGCAAAAGACAAAAAGGGGTAGTGGATGGCCAATCCCACAGAGCAACCCTGAGAATGAAGAGGGATGTTTTATCATGGGGGCTGGGAGAGGGGTTCTGAGTCTATAACTTAACACCTTAAGAACTCCCTTTGTTTGTGTGCTTATTCAGCCCTTCACAGGGTTGTTAACAGAGGGGTGACATGCAGTCATGAGGCAGCCTAGTAACAGAAAAGTAACCCACCATGGAACTTCTCGTAAGCAAACAGGTATCTCCATGCTAGACTTTTTATTACTCCCTCAGCACCACCCTGAGCCATGTCTAAAGCAATAAATCTCTTCTAAATTGTAAATACCCGGACAGTGGTAAATATCTTTGCAAGATAAGTGTTCAAAGGGGCGCCTCTGAGCCAGGCTTGTCTGGTAAGAGGGAGTCTGCCCCAGATTTGACCTCTCAGGCAAAGTCCTCTACTTAAGACCTTATGAATATTGGTCGTATCCAATTAAAGGCCTGGAAATTAGCATAAGCACAAGTGGAGAATACCCCACTTCTGTGATCAGGCTGTGTTAATTAAACCTGCCAGCCACCCTAGCCCCTCCCTCAGGGCTGCCCACATTTTTCCCTTCATCACAACTTATAACTTGATCTTTAAACAAACAGATCAATGCTTCCATGATCTGGCAGGAGCCCACCACTTTTCTCTTGCAGTGCTTCCTCTTTCCCTTTCCTCACTTTTTTTTCAATAAAGTTTTGCTACTGTTTTGCAACTTGTTACTCTGTCTAGTTCTCTGTTTCTGACACAAGGACTTAGAATCTTCTGGACTAGTGTCTTTGACTACTCAGACTACTACAACCATAATGGGGCCCATCCTCCTGGCTCAACCATCACCTTGCTGTGTGACATTGTGTAGTCACTTTGTCTCTCTGATCTCTAGTTATCCCCAAAATGAGAAGCTTGGATTAGATCCTCTTTCAGGACTTTCCAAGCTTTAAAAATACTTTGAATGCGGTTATAGTCCTCTTTTCTTAGTTCCATGTGAAAACAGCAATTAGTTTTGTTGTTCCATCATGATAGAGTATAAACAGGAACATAGAAAATTAAACAAATTCTGGCACCACTCAGGACCCCAGGGCAGAGCAGAGCAGTGTTATGTCTCACTTCTTTGTTGGACAAAGGGTGACTATGCATTCCCAGTGCTTCTGTGATAGACATTCACCAAGTCTCTGTCCAAGTCTTCTTTTGCCCTGGAATATTTTATTCTTTTCTACCCTTCACTTTCCTTCTCCTTTCTTTTTCTTTCACTTTAACATGTAAACATGTTTCCTGTGTGTGACACAGTGTCTCACTATGCAGCCCAGACTGGCCCTTAAACTTGTGATCCTCTGTCTCTGCCTTCTGAGAGTTGGTAATATGGATGTGTGCCAGATTTTTTTTGCGGGGGAAGGGGGGTATGAATTTTTTTTCTTTTAAAATCTACTTTTTGTAGATACATAAAAACATAGACATTATACATGTTAATAGAGTAATGTGATCTTTCAATACATGTATACATTGTATAATATTTAAATCAGGTTAAATATATCTATCTCCTCAATCATTTATCATTTCTTCATGATGTATGAAGGAATCCTCTCTTCTTGCCTTTTGGAAATGTACAGTACACTATTATTGCCAACTGTGTGCAATACTACCCAGAACATCTTGCGTCTATCTCACTTGCTTCTAGTAACTCAGTATTCTTTCCTCAACCTTTCCCACCCATGCTCTCCCCAGCATCTGGTAACAACCATTCTGCTCCCAACTTCTGTGAGATCAGCTTTTACAGAGTCCACAAGGAGTGAGGTTGTGCACTATTTGTCTTTCTGTGCCTGGCTTATTCATGTAACATAGTGACCTCCAGTTCCACCCATCTTGTTACCAATGACAGGACTTCATTCTCCCCGTCCCTGCAGGTTTTGGCAGTACTAGGTTTTGAATTCAGGGTCTTGCACTTGCTAGGCAGTCTGCTCTACTACTTGAGCCACACATCCAGACACTTCATCCCTTTTTATGGCTGAATAGTGTCCCATTGTGTATATTACTCCATTTTCTTTACCCATTCATCCTTTGATGGACACTTAGGTGGTTTCTGGTTCTTGGCTTTTATGACTAGTGCTGCAATAAACATGGGTGTGCAGATGTCTCTTTGAAATACTGGTTTCATTCCCGTTGGATTTATAGCCAGTAGTGGGATTGCTGGATCACATGGTAGTTATATTTTTTGCTTTTTTGAGAAACCTCAATTTTCTTACAGGTCCTTGGATCTCTTCCCTACAAGACATCAATGGGGAGAGGTGGACCTCCTGGGATGTAACAACAGTCCCTGGAGATCAGGGCCCAAGGGGACAGGAAGAGAGGCTTTGCTCAGTTCTGACCCCTCGGGGGCTTGTGGAGTGACTGGAGATGGGTGGTCCTGCAATTGGAGCAGGTACTCAAAAGTGGTTTTTGCAAAAGAGCACAGACAACTTACTAGAACCTATGGATCAACAAAAGCAGGAGACAAGTGTGGTATCATTGTTTTGTTTTGTTTTTTGAGGTACTGGGGTTTGAACTCATGGTCTACACCTTGAGCCACTTCTCCAGCACTTTTTTGCGATTTTTTTTTTTTTTCCAGATGGGGACTTGTGAATCATTGCCCAGCTGGCTTCGAAACTCAAACCTCCTGGTCTCTGTCTCCTGAGTAGCTAGGATTACAGGCCTGAGCCACTGGCATCTGGCCTCTGTCTCCATTTTGTATCTGTGCCCTGTGCTTTGAGCCATTCTCTCCTGCAATCACTTTGCAATCTTCCAGGATGGAAGGACTGAATCCAGAAGGACAGGACTGAGCCAATAATTAACATCTTTACAAGGGAAACTGTCCCCAAGATGAGAAATAGCAGAGCCTCTGCAGGACTAACTACCCACCAGGTGGTAATGACTCTTCTTGTAACCAGGCCCCACCTGACCAGTCCTGAGGCAAGGACTACCTGTGACCACCAGCACACACCTGTGACTGAGACAGTTTATGCATACCTCTCACCCTGCTCCCAATTCTTCCTCCTCTGTTTAAACCTAAAGCAAATGTTTGGCAGGGAAGAAGGGTTGAAATGTATTCTTACCTCTTCCCAAGGCCTGCCCATGCCCTTCCTCTGACTTTCACCATTACTTGTCTCTTTAGTTGACCTATTGGAGTGAGTGTCCAGACCTGGCATATGAAGCCAGGTGTTTGGGCCTGGAGCCTGAAACTCCTGCAGCACAATGACCCCCGAAAACTCAGAGGTCCCTTCCCCCATGTCTCAAGCCTAATCTCAGTCACAGATGCAGGAGGCTGCTGAACTGTGAAAGCTGAGGAACTGGGAAATATGTCCTGCAGTTAATATAGGGGCTCTGGTGCTTCATAACACCAAGAAATGCCCCAGAAAAGTGCAACAAAGGGAGGAGTATGGGTTTTTCCGTTGGAGGCCACAGGTACTTTGGACACATTAAGTGTCTCTGGAATGCATATTCTTTTTCTGAGACAGGGTCTCACTATGTATCCCCAGCTGACCTTGAACTTTCGATCCGCCTGCCTTAGCTGCCTGTGTACTGGGATTATAGGTGAGCACCACCGTGCCCAGCCTGAGATAGTAATTTCTGTATAATGGTTCTAACGGGATGATTAAATGGGGTATGTCAGTAAAGTGCTTAGCATAGTAGCACCCAGAACAGAGTGAATACCTCACAGGTTTTGGTTGTCTTCCCTTTCCACAGCCATGCCAGCTGCCTGGGGCTAACACACTGCTCAGTGGACCATGACGTCCCTCTGGGCAGTGTCTTCTCTTCAGAGAGAAAGGCAGGGCTGGTGGGTCCCAGCTGAATGCAGCAGGCCTTATACCAGCCTGATCTGCACCCTGGAGGGGCCAGCCTTCCTTTGTCCTGCACTCTAACTAGGGAAGGTGCTACCGTGACTCTTTTGTCACCCTTTACTAGGTGTTAGCCCTTTCTATCATCTGCCTGGGAAGGTCAACATCACTAGGGTCAACCTACTCCTGGCTTAGAGGGCTTGGGGAAGCCACTTGTCGGCAGGGTCAGAAAAGGGACATAATTCCAGTGTCTAGGGGAAACAAGAAGGACTAATTTTGGAGACTTGGGTGGCCCAAGTCTTTAGAGGCCTCTGAAGAGCAGCAGACTGGCCTCCCAGTCTCAGGGAGTCCAGTGGATTCTGAGCACTATGTACTGTGACCCCAAGGTCTTTTGCCACTCCCTGAGGTCAGGAGTTGCTTCAGGGCTGATTTCTTTGGCCCTGGCCATGAAGCTGAGCAGGGACCTCCCCCATCCCCCCACCCGCCAAAGCTCAGGAGAAACAGCTGAGATGGGGAGGAGGGTAAAAACCTGATTGCATGTTGGACTGTATGACTGCTGGGGTTGCTTGTAAACCCCAAGACTCCACCATAATTTTCCCATCAAGCCTATTTAGATACTTTAATAAGTCTAGTCTGCTTTGTTTTCTTTTTTCAAAACTTGGAGAAAAGAATGCATTTGTTCTCATTTTACTAAGTAGCTTCCTTGACTTATGGATTAGGGAGGTTGTAAACCCAGGGCAGGATCCCTCTTTCTTAGCTCCAAATTGCATAGAAATCCCCTGACCTCCTGTGTAAAGTTGCTGACTGGATGGCAGAGTCAGTCAGTAAAGGTTCTATGACTAGTGAGTTAGAGAAAGTGGTAGAATAGGTCAGGGACCAGACTTGGCCCTCATCAACATTTCTTGGTGGGATAAGATTCCATTCATGCGCAAGATGGATTCAACTATCTGATTTATTGCTATTTTGACCAGTAGCAGAAAAAATTCTTTGTGGACACTATAGCTTGTTTAGCATTGCGTTTCTACTGACGACCTTGTACATGGCTGGCACATGGAATATGCCATGTTTGGACACATGGATAGATCAATAAAATGATTTAGGTAGTGCATGACCACTACAGAGTCCATTGCTCAATGGATTTGGTCATTCTTGAAACTAGGATAATAGGCATCTTTGTTTTCAAATGAGTAGAATATATTTCCTTTCCCAACAAATAAATAGGAACATTAAATTAGTCAAAAGTCAGTTAAAGAATTTAAGAAATATGCTTACCTAAAGCATAGTCCCTTCGAGGAACACTTGGAGGTGCTTTGACTTTTAGCCTGTAGATAATAACCATTAGACCAATGGTCAGTGGGTAGAAAAACTATTGCCAGAGCCTTAATAAAAGTTGACATAGAGATAACAGATAGACAACTAATAGAATAAGGGGTTCCTTAGATCCATTGCCTCAAAAGACTTAGTGTATTATAAATGTAGTGAAGCCATTAATCAGAGGTTCCCTCCACAGAGCACGATATGGCTATGACTTGGCAAAGGGAAATTGAGTGGTAAAAGAGCTCTGTGAGGTCAGAATACTGGAAGCACTGCATTCAGAGGTTTAAGGAAGATCAGTGTTGATTGGTGGATGGGAAGGAAGAGAAGTGGAACTATATTTTAATGGTTTACAAATGGCTCTAAAAAAAAAACCCCAGCACAACAGTTAGCTGCAATAAGTAAGCACTCCTCTTACAGGTTGAACTGAAATAATTTTCTACCATTTACAAACATGACAAATAACTAAATACTGAGCATCTCAAGATTTAAAGTTTATGATAGTTACTACTTTTAGTAATAATTACCTCTAATGTTTAAGAATGATTTACTTAATGAAATTTAAAATACATACAAATAAAGCTCATATTCAGTAGCCTTTAGTTACTAAAACATACCCTTTTATAGAAGCAGTATATAGGGTAACCATTATGTATACAACATTTCATTTTTTTAAAAGAAAGCAGCACAGAAATTCATATTTGATTTTTAAAACTACAGGAAAACCTTTACAAACAGAATTGCACATTTTTCAAAAATAAAAATATTTACATTTGAATAAAAATTCTGATTTTTTTCCACTATGGGCTCTTACGTCTATTATTTCATCCAATTATCATCATGAGCCAACAATTGTCATCAAAATAAGCCTATGATGAAGTCTGGAAAGAGATTGTCTACATTGTCTGAGTAATTGCAGGGAAAGAAAACAAAAACAAAACTGGGTCTGGGCGGCTTATGGAACAGCAAAATTTCAAAACACACAAGCTGGCAATTATCCACTATTACCATCATTTCATGAAAGAAAAGAAAGGCAGTTTTCACAGAGCCAAATCATCTTGGAATAAAGGGTAAACTCAGGAATGGACTGTCAGATTCTGACCACAGATCAGGAATAAAAGGTGTGTTTGGAACTTTGCTTGGTACCTGGCAGCCACACACCAACCCCAACACCTGGTCCTTCTTTCCTTCTTTGTTCATGTAACTATAGACCTGTGAAAACTTGGTTGCAGCCTTGCATAAAGGAACCTGTGTGTTCAGCTGTACTTCCTGCTTTCAAGGTAGCACCTGCTGCCTGGCTTCAAGTGAGAACTTAACTGCAAGTCACTTTGAACCAAGGTGCCCTTGACTTTGCCCAGTGTAATGATCATGGCAGCCATATTTGCAGAAAGAGAAGAAATATGTTTTGTCAAGTAAAAGAGCTCTAGGGGACAATGACCAGAATGTATGAACTAGAGACTCAGAAATATTCGGAGCTCCACAGCTTCTGCAAATATGACTGACCTTGGAATAGAGGACTATTTTATACAAGAGGCTTCATATAGTAATATTTATAAAACCGCAGTTGTGGGACAATTAATCCAAAATTGCTGGGAATACTAGAGACTTCATGAAGAATGAGATGCTGTGTGTATCAGAAATAATAAATGAAAATAATCACAAGCCTGTCCCAGTGACAGTGAAGACAAATTCTACTTCTCTGGATGCTGGCTGCCCACAGCAGAGGACCATTCTGACTGCTGTGGTGATCACTACACACTGAGACTCATTTACATTTGATGGTCTAAAAATACCACCGAAAGTGATTTCTTACTTTTAAGTTTAGCAAAGATCAAAAAGAATGAAGAAACTCTGTTCTGAAGGCACAGGGAAATGAACTTTCATATACTATTATCAGCACAAAATTACAAGAGGGAAATAAAAAAATTAAGGGCACAACTCCTTCCATTCAGAAATTTCATTTCAGGAATTTAGCTAACTGGTGTACTCACAGTCTGCAGAAAATATTAATTGAAGTATTATTTGTGACAGGAAAGTGGAAAGAGAATTGCGATTGATCTGATAGATGCCCCCCAAAAATGTTGGTCCAGTTGAATCTCACACCTTCTCTTCTGAAAAAATGTTCACCAATATATACTTAGCTCATTTAATTATAATGCATTTATAGTAAACTACTAATCAGTGGTTTTAAAAAAAATGGTTTGTTTTTATATACCAATAAAGAAAGATGTCCATGATAGCATTAAGTAAAACCAACAAAGTAAGTGGATAGAATGGCATTTGGAGTATGCTGCCGTTTATGAAGAAAATGCATGTGCGCATCTGTGTGCCCTGCGTGTGTGCATGAAAATGTGTACATACACATGGAGTGTATAGCTGAACTCACTCAGGACATTTCTGGAGAACAGAATGAGATGGGGATATGAGGAAGTGGGCAAGTAAGTTTGACATCCTATCATCATACAATTGCGAATTCTTTGATTTTTTTTCATGGTAAATAATCTGAGTTACTTCCATTAAAGATCAAACTTAAAAATTTAACAATAATCTGGGCACCAGTGGCTTACGACTGTAATCCTAGCTACTCAGGAGGCAGAGATCAGGAGGATTGAGGTTTGAAGCCAGCCCAGGGAAATAGTTCTTGAGACCCTATCTTGAAAAACCATTCACAAAAAAAGGACTAGTGGAGTGGCTCAAGGTGTGGGCCCTGAGTTCAAGCCCCAGCACTGCAAACAACAACAACAACAACAAAACTTAATACCATTTCCCCTTTCCTCTTGACTTAGATTTGAGTGGCAATTTCTATTCTTTTTTTTCCCCCTGAGGTAGGATTTCATTATATTGCCCAGGCTGACCTCTAACTCAAGATCCTCCTGCCTCAGCCTCCCAAGTAGCTGGGATTACAGGTGTGTACCACTACACCTCGTTTAATTTCTATTTTCTTCTTAAAAAGCTTAAGGTTTTTTGGTACACAGGAAGAATTAGAATTCTAGCTTTCCCTATCCAAGTGCTCATTGAAAACACTATTTTAAAGCAAAAAATTGAAAAAGCAGAAATCGAAATGTGGACAACAGATATAGTATTCCAAAGGAATTAGGCCTTGGTTTTGTGTGTTCTGATTTCATTTTCTCCAGGAGTATCCTGGTGGACCTTAATTTGATGGTTATCCAGCTGGTTTTCCTGCCAGGCATCTTGAGAGGGCACAGGTCACCTCTTCTGCAGAGAGAAGGAAAATCCAAGTTCCCAGAGTACTACCTCACTCACTCGCCTTGTTTCCAGAATGCTGCCATAACCATCAGGACTTCCAGCCACTAGTAAGAAAGGGTGGCATGCTGAACAGGTTGCAACTCCTCACTGGGGTAACAACTTGGTTACTTAAATAGATGCCAACTTACTTTTTTATTTTGTCCATTATTCCACCTTCATTGTTCTTAATATCATGGACCATCTTTTGAAGCTGCCTGTAAGAAAAAAATTAAAATTGAAATATTAATAACCAGCCTTACTAAAAAAAAAAAAGGCCTCTCATCTTGAATACAAAAAAGAGAAAAAAATTGCTATAGAAGACTTCCAAATACCATGACTTTTATTGCATTTAAGTGACTATTTGAAAGTCACCATCAGCCTTTGACTTTCAAAAAATTCAGAATCTGATAGAGCAGTGGTTCTTACATTTCCTTGTGTCCCCTGGAGGGATGCTGAATGGTGGATATTGCCAGCAGCCCTCCCCGCATTTCTGATTGGATAGGTACATGGTCGTGGAAGAATTTGAGTCCCTAACAAGTTCCCAGATGGTACTGAGCACCACTGGGCTGTGGTAGCTCCTTTTCCCACCATGGCCTTTTAATTGTGCCTGAGTAAAGCAAACCGGCTTGAGGAGAAGGAAGGTCCTTATTAACCACGTGCAGGTTTAGACCAGTAAGGCTAGTGGTCAGTCTGTTAGCACGATGTAGATATGCACTTTGCTAGATTGTTCACTGTGTGGGTTTAGACTGCTCAGTGCCTGAATGTTTTCATTTATTTTATAGTCAGATGCTCTTTTTGAGCCATTGTTTGCAAAGGCTGCAGGCAAGGTGAAGAGACTGAGGCAGAACATGACAAGACAAAAGGCCTGGACCTGCTTGGAGCCCAGCACCACCAAAATGACTTCTGTTCTGCATTCCTAGAGATGCTGTGAAACCGATGGAAGGAATGCAGTGATGCTGGAGACTGTAACTTGAAGGACAAAAAAGTAGTACGAGCTTTTTCTTTTTCTCTCTCTTCCCTCCCTCCCTCCCTCTTTCTTTCTTTCTTCCTTTCTTTCTTTTTCTTCTTTCTTTTGTCAGAGGTAAATAGGAATAGTGGTTGCTCACATAAATTATATATCTCTTAATTTCTTAACTCTTTCTTATTAAAATGTAATATGTTCTGGGCCTTGCTGCTCACGCTTGTAATCCCAGCACTCTGAAGGTTGAGACAGGAAGATCAGGAGCTTGAGGCCAGCTTTGTTAAGACCTGTCTTAACCAAAATGACAACAAAATAAAAATGTGTTTGTGTGTGTATAAAATGAAAGAAGCCAATTTCAAAAGGCTACATATTATATGTACTTGACATTCTGGAAAAGGCAAAACTATGAAGACAGTAAAAAGATTAGTGGTTTCTACAAGTTTGAGGGTTTAAGGAGGGATGAATAAGGGAACTCTGTGCTCAAGGACAACCTCAGCTACATAGGGAGATTATGTCTCAAAACAAATAAACAATCAAAGAACCAGGCCAGGTTTTTCTCCTGGGCCAGGCTTAATTGCAAAGACAGAAGAGCTTTCCCAACCTCCTAAGTATCTTCTAACTGTCCTCTTCTGCCTGGGATTCCTTTAATGACAAGTCTTTTTAGGGGAATCTTTTTATGATACTGCGATAGTAGATACCTGTAATGCATATTCATTGTATCAAAAATTGGAAATCATACTAAAAATATCACTCTTAATTTCAACCTCCACTGTTAAGGTTTAATGGAACAGGCTGGCAGAGTGGCTTGGGTGGTAGAATGCCTGCCTAGCATACCTGCCTAGCAAGCCTGCGGTCCCGAGTTCAAACCCCAGAACAACAACAACAAAAAGACTTAATAAACAGCCTTTCAAGTTTTTACTATCCATGGGTAAGACACATGGCTACACAATTAAGGTTCTCCTTGACATTCTGTAACCTGCATTTCCACTTCAAATACATATATGCATGTGTGTCAATAAAAATTAAAAAATATATTTATATTTTGTATCTATATTACACATGTATTTATTTTAGTTGAATTAGCATATAAAAATTGAACATATTTATGGAGTACTGGATAATGTTTCAATACGTACACATTGTGTAATGTTCAAATCAGAGCAAACATTACCTAATCCTCAAACATTATCATTTCTTTGTGCTGAAAACATTCAAAATCCTTTCTTCTAGCTCTTTTGAAGTACACAGCACAGTATTGTTTTCTATAGTCACTCTACTCTGCAGCTGCACTCCAGAACTTACTTCTCCTACTCAGCCCTAACTTGGTACTCGTTGCTCACCCTCTGGTAAACACTATTCTACTTTCAGCGTTTATGAGATCAACTGTTTTACCTTCTGCACGGGAGTGACATCACGCCGTTCTTGTCTATCTGTGCTTGCCTTGTTCACTAACAGAACAATCTCCAGTTCCACCACGTTGTTGCTAATGGCAAGATTTCCTCCCTCTTTATGGTTGAATGCTATATATATCCCTCTATCTCACACTTTCTTTATCCGTTTATCATTTGATGGACACTTTGTTTGTTCCGTTGTTTGCTCTTATGAGCAGTGCAGTGGCACACGTAGGAGTGCAGACGTCTCTTAGACATCTGACATCCTTTCCTTTGGGTAGCAGGATCGCTAGGTCACATGACACTTCTATTTTTGATTGTTTGAGGAACTTCCCGACTGATTTCCATAGTGGCTGTGCTAAATTATGTTCTTGCTAATGTGCAAGGGTTCACTTTTCTCCACATCCTTGCCAGTACTTGTTATCTTTGATCTTTTTGATAGGAGCTTTTCTAACTGGAGTGAGGTGATAGCTCACTGTAGTTTTGTTATTGTTATTTTTGTCAGAGTTTCATTATGTACCCCAGGCTGGCCTCAAAGTCCCAGTCCTCCTATTTCCATCTCCCAAGTGCTGGGATTACAGGCCTGTGCAACAATGCCCACCACTCACTGAAGTTTTGATTTTTATTTCCCTGATGATTACTGATGTTGAATATTTTTTCATGTACCTATTGGTTATTAGCATGTCTTCTTTTGAGAAAAGTCTATTTAGGTCTGTTGCTCATTTTACATTGGATTATTAGCTTTTTTTGCTATACAGAGTTTCTTCAGTGTTCTGACTATTAGCCCTCTGCCAGATGTATAGTTGACAAATCTTCTCCCATTCCACAGTATTGTCCTTTGCTGGACTGATTGCTTGCTTTACTGTACAAAAGCTTTTTAGATTGATGTAATCCTACTTGTCTATTTTTGCTTTTGTTTCCTGTGCTTTTGGGGATTTTTCCAAAAAATCTTTGCTCATTACAACCCACTTCATATTATTTTTAACATTTTCACAAGTGAGCACCATCCTGGGCTTTAAATACATCTTCCCTGCCCTTGCAAATCCAGGGACTTTCAAACATCTAAAGCTGCTCCAGGAGGCAGTGACAGGAAGTGGTGGAGAATCAGGACCCCTAAGGTTGAGGGAGGAGCCAGAGAAGACCAGGCCTGAGGTATCCAGGAGAAGCCAGTGTGGTGAGAGAAACCAGGCCAGGCCAAGCTAGGTTTTTCTCCTAGGCCAGGCTTAGTTGCAAAGAGCAAAAGACTTCCCAACCTCCCATCTGTTCAGTATTGTCTTGAATACCTTTAATGACAAATCTCACTCTTCAATCCATAACGAAAGGCTGAAGGCTTACCAACACTCTCCCCAGGAAAGGCAACGCCCCAGCAAACAAGAGTTTTAGTCACTGGTGTGTCATATGCTTTCAACATGGGAGCAGAGCAGGAATGGTAAATCCAACCCCACAAGTTGTATACCTGTATACAGCCCAGACTTCAAACAGTATTTTCTGAAATTAAGACTTTACTTCAATGGGTGTCTTCTCCTCAGAAAAAAGATAAGCTAGAAAAGTGGCCTTGAATTTGGCTGCACAGGAAAATCACTCAGAGAGGTTTGTGTGTTTGTGTGTGTTACTGAAGCTTGAACTCAGGGCTTTGCACTTGATAGACAGGTGTTCTACTACTTGAGCCATGCCTGCATCCCTTTTTGCATCAGTTATTTTTCAGATAGGGTCTTACATTTTTTGCTCAGGCCCAGCCTCAGACTTTGATTCTTCTACTTCTGCTTCCACTTAGCTGAGCCCACTCACAGAGTTTATATATCCTAATACCCAGGCCTCACTCCAGACCATTTAAACCAGAATCACTGGCTCTCGGGTGATTCCACCTGGGCATCCCCTGTGGATGGGACTGATCCACAGTCCCACATGGAGATTTTTGTGCATCCCTTAGAGAAGATAGGGCCAAGAAAGAATAAGAGAGGAATTCATAGAGGTGACTGATCTTCAGAGAAGTGCTAAGCATTTAGAAAACAGAACAAGTTCTGGAAGGATGGGGTTGGTGGGGCTCCAAGACTGGGGACACAGAGGAAGACACCCACCTGGGGGATTTGGGCTGACGAGTAGTCCAAGAAGATTGGTATTTTACAAAATATATTTCTAAATATTTTTATTAAACAGAAGAGATGATTTAAAAAATGGTAGCATCTGCCAGAATATATTCTAAAAGCTTAGTAGGAAAAAAAAAAACATCAGATATGATCTTGCTTTCTTTTTAGCTCTTCAGTACACTCACCAAGAACCTTGAAGAGGCAGGATTTAGCATTTTGGGGTCGTTCCCCTCCCCTCACTCCTGTGTTTCCAGAAAAAATTGAACACAAAGCAATCCTAATCAGAGACAATCCCTTCTAATATGGATTTTGGAATGAGTAAACAGGTTCTCATATGAAAGTGACTACAAACAAATAGCAGATAAACCTTCCTGTCTTAGCCTAGGGTCCAGGTCTTGAGTTTAATCTTTTCAGGCTCTGTCTGAGCCACAATCCAGACCTAAATCTTCCCCTTTATACCAGGACAGTGTGTGACAGCATGGCCCTATGCTGTGGCGGTTTATTGGGACCTTTTTCAATTCCTGTTTCTAAAGCTCAAGCAACTTCTCAAGATTCTGCAATAACTCCCCAGTGTCTGCTGAATTAGCCTCATTTTTTTTCTGGCTGAGAACTATTCTGTGTCACTTTTAGCTCTCGTGGAACCCCCAGGGGCTATCTGCTCAGGTGTTCTGGACATCTGTGCTGGTACAAATGGATTGGTAGCTACAACTTACTTGTTTCTATGGTCAATTTGAAGAAGAAATTCCTCTATTTTATATACATACATATATATATAT